AAAGTGGACTTTATGCACAGATTTGAAATGTTTGTAATTATTTAAAGTCAGCATTTGATCAGTAAAATTTTGTGTTTTTTGCTGATTTTAAATACAGTAAAAATTGTGTAATTTTAGGGTGAATTGGTCGTGTAAAAAAAAAATACAAGAAAATGAAGCTTTTGTTCCTGTGAATAAATGTTTCCTGTTTTCTGTTTAGCAAAACAGAGACAGTCTGTAAAATAACAGTTTAATTATTCACCATTGTTCCATTCTTAATGTACTTATTTAATTCCAATAGTAGCATGTTTATCTTATTTAATTACAGTAAAAAAAATAATGTGTGGTTTTGTAAATACTATTTGTTATCTTTAACAAAACTGGAAAAGTCTATTTGGCAGGACGAAACGTCCCCTTCAGCGCGGCAGATGTAGAAGGCTACTTTTCACTCCTCACACTGAATATTTGACTTCCTTATGAACTTGACAGTATCAGTAAAAAGTTCTTTACCATTTTCAAGTCCCTAATATGCATATTTTTTTCTTTAAAATAACAACAAACAATATATATATATATTTTTTTAAAGATGGGTTTTGTTGTTGCTAATTTAAATACAAAAGAATAAATTACTATTTGTAAAAATATAGATTATAATATGGATATTATTTGCAGTTTACTTTTTTTTCAGTGACTTCATCAGATTTTTAACAAAACAGGTAAAATATGTAAAACAGCAGTTTGAACGTGATGAACCTTTTCAGCCCCAGTGTACACAATCTTACTGCAGCTATCTGTAAAATCTAGTTTCATTTTTTCAGATTTTAATACAGTAAAACATTGTGTAGTTTTACAGTCAAACCTTGTGAAAGAACAAATTCCTAAATGTCTGAACTGGGTTGAACTGCAGCCTGTGTCCACACAGATGTTTGTGATGTGGACGTTATTTACCATTTTGGCCCGTTACTTGTACGGTTAACGTGTAAATAAATGCTCTTTTTCTGTTGTTTTACTAAATATTATGTGTAATTTAACAAAACAGGAAAAATCTGTAAAATCTGTTGAAGCTTTTTTACAGTGTGCATGACCCTCCCTGAGCCCAAAGCCTGTTGTTGTTCCTCTGCAGGTCTCTACAGGACGGCATCATGACGGGCGACTTGGTGGTCTTCAGGGGTCTGACATGGGTGAAGCAGGCGGCCAGCCGAGCCCCACCGGGCGGCCTGACCGGCACCGGGAACCACAGGCTGGTCAACTTCCACCACAGCGCCAGATCAGCAAGGGTGAGCATTCAGCCGTGATTTGCAGCTCAGATTTCACAAACATGCAACCCAGATACCTCCTCTGTGTGCTCCTGTCACCATCAACGGCTCGGCGATTAGCAGCTTTATGAGGCCCGACGATGCCGGAACAGAAATCTGAAAGGAGAGAAGCTCAGATGTGAAGCAGGCGATGAAGGATTCAAGTGGATTTCCAAAGCCGGATAGGAGTGTTTCATAGTCTGACTGACACTTGGGTTTTAGGGCTGATATCAGGGAGTAAGAAATTCCACATTATGTACTGGTGGACGTTTATATATGTGTATCGAAAATGGAAAATGAGGGGGCCATTGTTTTTTTTAACTTTCCAGCAATATGTCTCATGTACTAGTTTGCAGCTTACTATGAAGACAAAGCTTGACTCTGCACCACAGCCTGCTCTGCTACATGTGCTGCAGACAGCACAACATAGTCAGAGCTGATTCGCTGGACAAACGATGTGATGACACAGTTTGTAAATTACTCAAACCATTTTTTTCCAGCATTATGTTCTGTAAAAGAAAGTTTTCCAATCAGTATCTATCGGTCAACCTCATATGAATGTATCTGTGACAGACCAACGATATTTTATTATTTAACAACATAATGACAAAAGTGTGCAGAGTTTCCTGCAGATTTTTATTCTTTGCAGGGAAGTGCATGTTTCCAGAACGACATTTAGATGGTTTCTGTCAGTTGTAAGTAACGTTATGTAACGTCAACAAAGATGGATTTTATCTTTACAGTTTATTTTACATCCAAACTTTCCAGAGGCCTGCACAGATAGAACATCCAAAAATGGATTCATATACCCCTCAAGGCTTGCAAGACAAAAAAAGTCGCACTTTGACTTCAGAATATTTTAGCTTGTGAAGGTGTTGAGACGGTGGATGTTATTAAAAAGATAGAGCTGCCCCTGATGTCCCAACGTTTTTTGCCCCAATGAACAGAAATGTTGAAAAGTCACTGGTTCCACCTCTTCCATTGTGCATAAACATAAGAGCACAAAAGCATCTGTGCAGCTAAATTAGTGGCAAATGCAGCTGTATGATGCTGTGTAACGGTAGTCTGATGCTCATATTACCAGGCTAGATGACTTCTGACTTACAGGTCACAGTGTTGCTATGAACAGTCACCGCTGAGACTTGTGTTGTGTTTTTGTCACCTGGTAGATGAAACCTATTCTGTCCAGCAAGAGAAACAGCTGCTTGGTTTCAGTTAAGGCCAAATCAGCCTCTGTTCAATGTGTTTGAAGTACAAAGCAGCACCAACACAGTAATGAGCTGCTGTTCAGGGAGGACATGACTCCTGCTGTTGTTGAGTTCATACTTTAAAGGCCCCTCCTGGGAAGAATCAAGGTGTTTTTACATTGTTTGCATGTCTGTATTGGGGTTTTTAAATAAGCAGTCAACACCACGGCTGAGCTTTTTTACCTTGAAACTGCAGCTGTACCAGTGACAGTCTCAAAAACACGGATTCAGACTTACAGATTTTCACAAATCCAAGAAACCAATCTTGTCATTTTGCTGAGTCGGACTTTCTGTATCATTCTTCTACAGCAAAAGCGGAAAATCTACGTCATTATAAGATGCAAAGGGATTGTTTTCTTGGGGACAAAACTTCTAAATATGTGCACAAAGATGAGGTTTTAAGGGTTTAATAAATGACCAAAAAGCCACTTTAATAGCACAGATTCCTAAACAGCGTCACCCTTGAGTGTTGTTGTGTGTTCGACATCCTGCAAACCTTAAAACCTCCTGACACGAATCATGTTTTGTTCATCCAGGAGACGTTCAACACACGAAAAGATGTCCACAGAGCGGCTACAGCTCACCTTCCCAGATACTCGGCTATGGCCGCCTCTTTCAGTACCTGCTTCACCGGCAGCGTGAACGACCGTCAAGGGAGCTGCAGTGGAAGATCTGTGACCAAACGCCTGAAGTGCCACAGAGACTGGTCAGGTCAGCTGTTCTCTGGACATACAAGGTTATTTAACCAGGACAACTCCACAGTGGGACGGCTGACGTCGGAGGATATCGATAAAGCGAGAAACACCAAGAACAACTTCAAGCAGCACAGACAAGTGGTAATGTCTCCTTTTATTTGAATCAGTGTTTGACTAAAATGAGAGTTTGTCACTAAAGTTCCTTCTTCTTATTCCAGCTGAGTGAAAAAGCTCGAGAGAGGAAGGTGCCGGTGACACGGATCGGCAGGCTGGTGAATTTTGGAGGTGGGTGTGTTTCAGTGGCGTGTCGGTGATGTTACGCTTCAGACAGCAGTGGCCTGTAAACCTTTAAATGCTACTGCAGGTGTTTTGATCCTCAGCTGCTCCCGTGGCAGCGCTCTGCAGCCGGTGTGGGAACACTGGGCGGCTGCCAGGTGCTGCCAAGGTGTGATCTTGTATGAATGTGAAGCGGAGCCAAGAACCAACTGCACTGTGCACAGTCAGCGAAAAAGTTAAATTAGATAAACACCCAACATGTCGTTTTACATGAATCACTGGCTACGTGTACGTGACAATGTAATAGAGCTTCAGCTGCGCTTTGTGTTTACTTTACACTAAAATGTGTGCTGCGTGATTGTGTGTGTCCTCCAAGCGTGTCAAAATAATTTCCTTCCTCATCAGACATTTGCAAAGCAGATTGTTTTTTT